ACTTAGTTATTTATTAATCTATTTAAAGGAAGGCAACCTACCGTTACTTTTTACACGTTATTTATTTAGCTATATTTATTAATTTATCAAGTTTCATGTTTTCTATTTTTAAGATTAAAATAAAAATATCTTCTAATATAATATGACAGTTGACAAGTCTTGAAACAAGACTAGTAGTAAACCTATTGACTATTTATCAGTATTCAGGATTGACAGAACTGCATAATTCGACAAAAATAAATAGAAGTACGTAATGAAAGTACGTAAATAATACGCACAATGTATAATCTTTTACAAATGAAATAACTTCCATTACAGTACCGTCATAAAAATGTTATTTTACTGGCTATAATAAAACAACAAACCAGAGCTAGCTAGACAATTGTGACATTAAATTTAATATTTACAGTTACGTTGTCATTAATTTCTATCGTGAACTTGAGCTTTTGAATATCGTGATTAGCACACAACACTTTGAAATGTACAGAAATCGTGACATCACGATCCCGGGTTTTTGAATAACGAGTTTAATCAACACGACATTTTGAAATACGGGTTAAAAATTGAAATTATCACAAGGTCAAGACTAAAGCTTTTGACTAGCGAAGTTAATCAACACATAACGCGACACTTTTACACGGCCGTGAACTGGTTATTTGAAATACATGGCTAAATTCTACAACACTTTGCAACGCTACAAAACGTGACATTTGTAATGTTCACGATCCTGGTCTCTTGAAAAGAAGTTTGACCACGAATGACACTGTAAGACGTATATAAAACTTAACACTCTTACACGGTAATAAATCTGGATTTTTGAATTGCAGGAGTGACGACAACTGGAAATGTAATACTTTTATTACATGCTCTCGAACCTGGTTTTGTAGAAGTTGACTCTAAAGAATTAGGATCAAAGGTTGCCAAAATTATTACACAGCATCGCGCGTTCATTAAAGACTTTCTTGTTTGATAGTATTTGAAACGATTATTTTCACTACAAAATGTAACAAGTGTAACCAGATCATTCCTAGTAGAGTTAGATCTCTTCATTATAGAGCCTAGTGGTTAGGGCGCTCGACTCACAATCTGCAGGTTCGATCCCCGTCACTGAACATACTCGTCCTTTCAGCAGTGGAGGTGTTATAATGTGATAGTCAATTCTAATCGTCATTGGTAAATAGTAGCCCAAGAGTTGGCGGTGGATAGCGTAGACTAGTTGCCTTCCATCTAGTATATCACTGCTAAATTTGGAACGGTTGTCACAGATAACCCTCGTATAGCTTTGCGCAAAATTCAAAACAAACAAACTCTTTAGTATAAAATATATCTAAGTAATTTGAGCTCCCAAATTAGATAATGTTAAAATAAATCGGATAGGTCGACTTTGCGCTGTCGGTAATAGCTTACTCCTGACGTAGTCCATAACAAATTCTACAAGTAGCAACAAGCTTTTCTTCACGATTAAGCTATATCACTGAAACAGTCCACACCTGCCAGTATTCAAAGTGGCCTCTACTGTAATAAATGGATATATGACAACAAAATGATTAATCCTATTGGACGGTACCCTACGACTCACCATCTGTATTTCCATAATTGATTTTACTATCAATTATAGAACCAATAGTACAAGCTTCCAAACTGGTATTCTAACAAACAAATATACAAACCTATTACTTCTTAGCTGTTTTAACAATAAAGCTTTACTTTTTTTATGAAAGTTACTTTATAATATAGTATATACAGTAGTTAAATAAGGCTGGAGGTTTAGTTGATATTTACTTTTACCTTTCATACAAAATGAAAACATTTCTCAATAAAGATTTTATTTAATACCAGCCTTGCAATGAAAATGTAATACAGAATACACAATTCATAAACGGTTAACATGACCTTAAACTAAGATATAATACAGAATACACAATTCATAAACGGTTACTCTGACCTTCAACTAAATAAAATACAGAATACACAATTCATAAACGGTTAATCAGACTTTCAACTAAATAAAATACAGAATACACAATTCATAAACGGTTAACCTGACCTCAAACTAAGATATAATACAGAATACACAATTCATAAACGGTTAATCTGACTTTCAACTAAAATATAATACAGAATACACAATTCATAAGCGGTTAATCTAACCTTCAACTAAAATATAATCCAGAATACACAATTCATAAACGGTTAATCTGACCTTCAACTAAAATATAATACAGAATACACAACTCATAACTGGTTAATCTGACCTTCAACTAAAATAAAATACAGAATATACATTTCATAACCGGTTAATCTGACATTTCAACTAAAATATAATACGAAATACATAACTCATCAACTAATCCGAAACAGAAACCTAAAAGCACAACCTACAACACGCAAAAAAACATCCTCCAAATACATCAAGTTCCGCTACTTGTTTCATGGCTTAATGTCTTCGTTATGAAACTTACATACCATTTTTAACACTAAGTATTAAGAACATTTTTTATTTTATTTTAAATCCCTAACAATGAAAGCGTGAAACATGTAATTTAAATTCTAGTTTTAAATCGCTAAAACTAATTACCAATTCTTTCTTTAAAATCATTATCTCGCAGGATGAGCGTCCGAGTTTCATTCAGTGATTTATGTGCCTAATGATAAATATTTCACACGTGGCAATTGTTAAACGACAAAAACACTAATAACAATCATTATCCACATCTTGCCGTTGTCGTTAAAAACTGTAATAAGCAATATCAACTGACACCGGCATACAGACGGGTCGATGTTTCTAATGTAATTTAAAAGTAAGGAAAATCTAGCGTCAATCATGTGTATAATATTGGATAGATTACATTTGTTAACCGTTAGCTGTTTTATCAATTCACTTATGATTGGCTAAAATGATATCAATTAAAATATTCAAAGGATTTTGAAGCATAAAGACATTATTAAAAACGTTAAATACTTCTAAAGATCATCAATTTTTAAGAAAATTAAATGCTTGGGAACTTGATATACCTTTAAAACGAAACGAATGATAATTACCCAGAACGACTGACGTTATTCGAAAGCAATGTTTTATAAATATATTTATATATAAATTTGATAATAGGTACGTTAAAACATTATCTAAATGAATTATAACCTCATATATAATCAAGGAATTATTCTATTTATTGCTAGTCCGAGCACAAAGCTGTACCACTCTGCCCACCACGGGTATTGAAGCCCGAAATTTAGCGTCATAGGTTTGTAGACTTCCAATGGGTGAGAGGGTGGACGAGTAAACGACTTCCAGAAAGTTTTAAATATTGGAAAGCCTTGAGAAGTACACACCTAATCTGTGACCTAAAACTTCTGCTCGAAATAAATCCAACAGATGGCAGTCACTATATTATTTAACATGAAAATATTAACGCATTAATTTGAAATCTATCATTTAATTGACCAAACAGCCCTACCTGAAGAAAAAACCCAAATAAATCTTGTTTTAACGTGTAGAGAAACCTAAGTCTGAATAAAAATGCTATAATTTTAAGTACTACAATATTGTAATACACTACATTCATAATGGGAGTCTGTGTTCAATATCTGGGTCAACTAAAAGTATACAAAACAAGGCCAGAGGTCATTAAAATGTGAAAACTTTGGAAGTTAGAGATTTGTGAAAATTAATAGTACGTTCACGTGGAAACAATTCTGTCATACATATAATACGTTTTTCTTTAACATATGTCATGCAAAATAATTTGGTCATAAAATAATATATTTACAATATACCTACTCACTTAATATTCCATATCAAAAAAACCACTTGTAGAAGTCTGATAAAAAAGTA